AGTTGCATAGAAACTAACCGCTATAAGGGCAGTTCTACAGCAATTTAACCTCTCCCTGATAAACTGGCTGTTAATGTGCATTTGGAGCAATACTTTCCCTAAGTGATCTTTATTTTACGTTAATTTCACGTTTTTCAGTAATGAGTGTAGAAAATCGCATTTATGGGTTCAGAAATAATTATTTTATAGCCAATTAATAATTTGGTGACTAACTTATTGAACTTGCCAAGTGGGCCACCTAATCTTTGAATTACGATACAGCAGTTTAGGCGGATTTAATGGTATTTTTTTGATGATTAAAAAGAGAAATTTGAAATGGACATAAAAATAAGACATTTCAAGATAAGTTAAAGTATCATTTCAAATGCACACCAAGATCCTGCTTATAATCGGATATTGGCAAAAGATGGCATTTTCGGTTATGCGTTGCAAAGCCAATCTAAAACGTTATCACTTTCTTTCCCTTCATTCCATTTTAAAGAGTACTCAAACTTCAATTTGAGATTTCATTTCGCGAATTTCCTATCAGTAATTGAGAATTTATTTTCGAACAAGTAGTTCTTTGATATATTGCTAAAAGTAACAAATTGAATGTTACTTTTTTGGGGGGGAAGTAAGATCATTTCAACATATGTCCTACTGATAGTTACTCCCGACTTTTTCCTAACTGAGCGCTGCATGCTTCTTTGCTTCAAAAAATAATTTTTCCTTTAAGGAAGAAGTGTAATTGAAAATTTTAGTTCAATTTTGTACTAGGGTTGTACAACTTAGCACAATGCTTGCAATGCTTTTGGCATTCTCAATACATGTACATTTAAGTTCAGTGGGCAGGGCATGTACCAATAATGCTAAAACAGGCCTTTTTCGATATACCTTTTCTCAGCATCTAAAGAAAATATTGCTTCAGGTTTTCTATCACAAAATTTTTAGTTACATATGTTTACACTATGATAACTGTAAATACATATCTTCGGCAATAATTTATTTTTAAATTATGAGCTGAGAACTTTAAATTCTTTTAAAAGTTAGATCAGTTTTGAGCAAAAAATCCTTGATAACTCAAAAAGTATTCCGGTTAACGCTAAAACATTATCACAGCATACAACTGATGTAATCTCAAATATCCCTAAAAATTTTTAAAGCGTTACCAAAAGAAGTTTCTTAAAAAAATAGATCGAAAAAAGTCACTTTTAGCATTATTGATACATGCCCTACCGACTCCTCTTGAAATTATGTTGAAATTGAACTATTGAAATTATACTGAAATTGAAATTATATTGAAATTAACGCCTTGAAATTGAACTATTCTACAACTAAAATTATTATTAGAACAGTTTGATAAAATAATATTCGGAGAATGTAAAAAAGTAACTTTAATTGATTAACTTTTCATTTTTTTTAACAGGAGAAACATTTAGTGATTTGGAGGCTAAATTTTGCTGTGATGATTTCAAATTGTTCAAGTTATAGAAGAAAAACTAATTGTAAAGATGCCGGAACCGCGTTCGATTTCCAGGGATGGCAGGTCAATACGAATTCCGCAACCGGCTGGCACCAGCCACAGTGCTGACGTAAGGTATCCTCAGTGGTAGACGGATCATGGGTTAGTGTCTCTTTTTCATCAGGCTAACCATAGGAGAAATTCGTAGTTTCCATCTCCATGTAACACGAATGTTTCTTCCATGTTATCATGTAACACGAATGCTTAGTTGAATGTGGGCTAGTTCCACCAAAATGTCCTCCACGAAAACAAATTTCTCCCAATATTTGATGCAGGAGTTTCCTTGTCTTCTAGATCGGTTCAAAATCACATGACTAAGGAGTTGAACATTGGAAGTTGAAGAATCCAAAAATGGGTCAGCTGATCAACGGCTGTTATAAAATAACATAAAATGTCTCAATGTACAAAATTTTTCCCCATACCACAGTTATGTTTATTTACTTTCGTGACCTTTCTTTTCATAAAATGTTGACTAGGAATAAGTTCCATGAACTCATTTTTTTTATTATTAATTTCGTCACTTTTGTTAATGTACCTACGATTTATTTTATTTGAAGATTATCTATTTTTGTTTTTGACGTTCTTAAATTGATAATGCTTAGTTGCATATACCATCTTAAGTTTTCAGAAATTTCATGTGCTTAATTTAGTTCTTCCTGGCTAAAATTTGCAGAAATGCTTTTTACATTGTGCTTGTGAATAGAATTATGATCAACTTGTTCTAAACGTATGCTTCAGCTTGTATAGTAAAAAACATCAGTCTGAACAAAATTTTAAACTGTTTATTGACACTTATAAAGGCAAATAGTTTTATAAATACAACATTCACATTGTTTTAATATTTACAGTTATGGACAATGTTATGACTTCTTAAATGACTAAATAATAAAAAAGAAATTCTGTTATTGCATTCGTTTTTCTACTTTACATACTGTAGGAATGCAAACGAGAACAACAAAAGGATTCAGATTTAAGGTTATAATAACTCAAACATAAATTAAAACGGTGAACAGTTTAGATACCCATTAAATCAAAATCTCCAATTTTGCTTGTTATTCTATTTTACATACTTTATTATTGCAAACGAGAACAACAAAAGGATTCAGATTTAAGGTTATAAAAACTCAAACATAATTTAAAACGATGAACCGTTTAGATACCTATTAAATCAAAATCTCCAATTTTGCTTGTTATTCTATCTTACATACTTTATTACTGCAAACGAGAACAACAAAAGGATTCAGATTTAAGGTTATTATAACTCAAACATAAATTAAAACGGTGAACCGTTTAGATATCCATTAAATCAAAATCTTCAATCTCGCTTGTTTTCTAGGGTTTCGTTACTTAAAATTTATAATCATACGTAGTTTTTCTTGCATATTCAAATATTTATAGAATAATTATATTTCGGAACTGAAAATTTATGAATATAATGTCAGTATACTATTTGCCCATCAGGAGTAAGACAGGCGTAGGAAATTAAAAATATATTACGTCGGTAAAAACAGTTTCTGCTTGTTATCTTAAGATATTTAATCCATTTTGAAATTTCATTTTACGCCTTAAACTCTCTAGAGTTTACTATATTATACTCAATTTTAGTTTTAATAATAGATGATGCAAATTTTTTTTTTAAGTTATCTTTTAATAATTAGATATAACGGAAGATTTTTTTAAAAAATTTCGCTGCATTGTAGGTAAAGAAACGTCTTCAAACGTTGAAGTATTCATTATTTTAAATACTGTATTTGAGAAGCTAATACTTCTATAATTAGGTTTATTCACATATGCGAATAATTTTTCTTTAAAAAATATCATGAAAATATGCTTTGGGTACCTTGCGTCCAATTAATAGTTAACAAGATTTAAAATTTAAAGCAGCGCATGCGAATTTTCGCTGTCAAAATAAATAAAAAATGCTTGTTAAATTGATGAGATGAATCCAAGTACATTCTCTCTTAACCTGGAATATTTTTAATATGAATGCAGCTGAACAGTATTATCGCAAGACATATAGATTAAATAAATAATTAAAAAATACAAAGGAATTGCTTTCCCTCGTAATTAGACTAGTTGAAGTTGAAAATAAAATAAATTTTCCCCGTGATGCCCAAATTTATTCCTTGGTGTCATTTTACGAACCGAATAAAACCTATTTTTTCAGAATAAATTCTAAAAACTAAATAAGGCGAAGTAATTAAATTGTTAAAATGCAATATCTCTAATTATAAAATAACAAACCGAAATTAAATGAGGAAATATAGATAAGAAGGCGCAAAAAGAAATTCAAAAGTCACATTAACTAAGTACCGATTGTTTAGGAATAAGTAAGGATTAAAAATTTCAAGTTATTCATTTTTATAAATTAAATTTTTTTTAAAAAAGAATCTGGGGTAGATAAACAAATGCGAAAAGATTTCATAGTCAGCATATAGATGACATAATTTTCAGTACGTTGGAAAAAAATGAAAGTGACACAAATAATCTTTTCATTTCAGCACTTTTCCCAAAACGTTTGATCACCACTCTTCTAAACTGAAAGCGCAGTCAATGGGATTTAAGGGCATTGATGCATTTTGTAAGTCTAATGCAAGGATAATCAAAATGTACAAATAAAATATTACTAATGCCCATAATTGCGGAAATAAATTTTTAAGTCTGAATACATTTTTATGCTGAGATATTTTTTGAGATACTTTAATAATGTTACTTCAGGTGGACTCATTTGGTGATACAATCATATTTAATTGAAACTGTGATTGGACGGAAACATTAAAAACAACTTTCCATTTTAATGAAACTAAGGAAAAAGTTCAAGGGCATAAATTAAAAATGCACTCCATAATTTACTTTATTGATATTGCGAAACATAAAAGTATCCAGATTGTTGAATGAAATATATGAAAGCCATAATTGAAAGATTGTCCAACTTCATTTCTATCTCTGTTCATTTTATGGTATTAAGTCGGACGAATGTAACGTATTTTTTATCTTGCTTAATTTTTTTTTCTCTTCGTTCAGCAACAAATAATTGGAGGTGTACTAGCTTAGGAGGTGTACTAGTTTTAAAGCAACATAGAAATGACTTATGAACAAAAAAAATGAGGCCTTAACTAATTTTTAATAAATGGGGTTGCGCCACTCTTCAAATAAGGGCTTAATATCTTTTTTTTTCATCACATTCACTTTTNATAAGAAATAAAAAAAAATATTTAAATTACAATCAACACTACATAAAAAAGTAAAAACATTAATCTTTTCAATGTTTTAACTTCTTTTCTCGTTTCCGTACTAAGTTTCTTTTTGGAAAGAAATATATTCATCTTTAAAGAACATATTTGAATGCAATAAGTAAATAAATATCTACAGTTTTAAAGAATGCATTTGTGCAAATTACTAAAATGCAGTGAAGCAACACATTGTTGAGACTTCTGCCACGTCCATTCATATTTTGTCTTTCGGTGATTAAATGCAAAGTGAAATGAACGAAGCACTCTTGTGAATGTAGGGCCTCACTTTATTGTTCACAGATAAATAAATCATGGTGAAGACTTTGTGCATTTGGTCTGCATAACATCCAGTTCTTTCATTGCAGTGGCAATATGTTCCGAAAGTGGTTTATCGAGAGGAACTTCTGGATGAACGTAATTATTAAGAAAGTATGGTATTCCTTTAATATCCTCTGGGAAACCTTTGGGAAGATCTTCTAACTTTCTTGGAGTAAAAAGAAAAGTTGGGGTGGATTCAAGAAGCCTAAAATGAATTGAAAAAGAAGATAAATTTAGTCAAATGAGTAAATCGTTAGAAAATAAAGTCTATAAAGTAGGGGTAGTTTACCGTACCGTATGTTTAAAAAATTCATTAGCGGAATGGAGATAATAGTTAATATTATCAATATTAACGCTTGAGGTTAAAACCCAAGTGATTAAATAAGCACTTAAATAGAATCATATTACAAAATGTTAGAAAATTGCTCTGATTTAAATTAATTACTTTTGGAATAACTGAACAATAAAAGAGATATGGTACACAGGAACTTCAGTCTTTCAACACAGAGTAGAAAATTCTGCTAAAATTACCGTACCTGTTGGGCAATGACATTTCTAATGAAAAAAAAATCATCAATGTTAAATAATATTCATATCATCAATGCTAAATAATCAATATTAAATAATCTTCATATCATCAATGTTAGATAATAATCTATTAATTTAAAATATAAAACTAGATAAAGTATTTTAAAAAATAGAGGGCTCAAGCATATTTCTCTTAAAGAATAGGTTCAGAAGTTTCTGAGTAAATTTCAAAGTTGACCAGTTAAACGTGGGCTAGATAGAGATTTTCATTTTTGATAAGTTAAACTATAAATTTAAAATCCATATTTTTTAAACTGTTCTTTTTGCGTAAATATATCAAATTTCAAGTCCAAGAATTACAAAATCAATTAATCGCAAATCGATACTTTGTAGCAGATAATGGAAAATATCGAATTAAGTTTTCCTTCAGAATATTTTAGAATTATTTCCTTGATATATAAAATCGAAATTCTTTCCCGAGTGATTCAAGTTTAGGCAATTAACTACATTTGGTGAGAGCTTTGACTTCATTTAAAAGACAATAATCTTATATAAATAAATTATGCTTCATGTGCAGAAATAGTGTGAGGTTCTGAAAAATGTATAGGTCATCAATTTTTTTATGTTAGAATCTAAGACTCCACAAATTTTCTTTCAAATTAGGTATCCTAAAATCTTTGCAAAATGCATGTTACTTTAAATTAATATAATTATTTAAAGCATTGTTTACAGATAATGCTAATTTTACACAAATATTTTATTTCATAAATATATTATTTCATAAATATTATATTTATATTTCCTCTTCCCAAAATTAAGCATTAAATATTCAAAATATTTATGGTAATATCAAATCAAAAATGTGGAAGTTAAAGCTGCTTTTTGAAGACTCTTTTGTCATATGAAAAAAAATTTAGCGAACAATATGCTATTTATATAACAGTTATTTATGACTATTATAACAGTATCCTTAATGCTGAAGTTGAAATTGGCGCTAAATGTCAATATGAGCGAATATGGGATATTTTTGGGAAAATTACCATTTTGCTGAATAAAATTCCTAATTTGACCGAATCATAAATACATATATAATTCATTTGCTTCAATAAAATATTGTAATGCCAATATTTTCACTGTATGCTATTTTCCACCAATATAGTATAGACTTACCGATTTTATTCACAGGCAATAATTCTAGTAAATGAGCCACTACTCGTCAATGATAAAGGCACTGAACTGTTGTGAAAAACTGGAATTGCGAAAAACTGGTACTTTGAACTGTTGTGAAAAACTGGTGCCTTGAAACCCATCCAGCTTCAGATCAATGGGTACCAGCTTGTAAGCAAAGGAGGCATGTGAGCAGTGCTAACCACTCTGTCACAATCATGCCGTTGTCCAAGAAAATGTGGAACTCTAAACTCCTTGACACGCCTGGCTAACACATGGCTGTAATGGGAATGCTTTACTTTATAACAGTTATTATGACTATCAGAGTTAGGCAGTATCCTCAATGCTGAAGTTTAAAGTGGCAAATGTCAATATGAAGAAAAGTCAGAGTTTCAAAGAGTTTGTAATGCAATATTTTAATATTTGGGAAATAATTTTAGCTATACTTTGGAAAGACTCATGTAAATATACAATAAGTAAGAATTATTTATTTATTAACATGATTTATCTAGCCAGGAAGCTACCCAAAGTGGCACCTACCTATCTGGCAGTAATTGAGATATTATTTATCAAACACTACGATTTCTACCTTGAATAAGTCACCAAGTTTAATTCATGACGGAAAACAAAAATCTACTGTTTTGAGTGATAAATTCTAAAGTTCCTGCATAATTCTGCATTTTACAAGTATATTATATAAAAATAAATTATTAATTGAATTAGAGCTCTAACAATATATCGTTTGAATATAATTTTCATTGGAATCTTTTAACTGTTTTAACACGCTATTTTTGAAATTTCTGTAATATTTTAAACTTATTTTTTCAAAAGTTCATAACTCTGAAACAAAAGCGAATTTGACAATGGTTTATGTCTGTTTCATATCCAAAAAATATTAGATGCATAATAATATTCAGCATGATTTGCTAGTGACGACATCTTCGGGTTTCTGTCTCATAATTTGAAAAATTTAGCCAAGTTGTCGATAACTGCGGAAAAAGTTTAAAATGACAAATAGCTTAAATACTTTAAAAAGTATTAAAGTCTAGACACTGTTACTCATCAGCTAACAGATAAGAATTGATGCTTTGTTTTTAAGGGGCTAACGTAACCCGGTCGGTGCCTGTAAGCTTAGGTCATGGAAGCGAGCAACATCACCCACCATGTCACACATTATACAACAGAGACGCCCAAGCCCCGAACGGGATTTGAACCCCCGACTATTATCTTCGCAGTCGGGTACTCTGATCGCTCGGCTTTCTGGCCGGCATAAACTAATAGTAAACCATAAAAATTCAAATGCTGATAGTTGTTCTTCAAAATATAAAAATTCTTATAAACTATGACAGGATTTCACGGAATTTTACAGCTAAGAAATAAACCTGTTATAATTTATTTGCACTTTGATATTTTGAAGGGAAAAAAAACTTTTTTTGTTTTTAAACCATTATGGTTTACTTTTAGTTTATCGTAACTCAATTTTTTCTTTTTAATTTCTTTCCTTAAATTTTAAATTACTAATGTAAGTGGAAAAAATTCCCCGTGAAAGGTTTTATCTGCAGTATAGCGTACTCTTATGAACAAAAACATATTCTTTGAGTAAAAGAAGAGAATGCTATGTAAAGTTATAAATTAACACAAGCACACGTTCTATGGATAAATGTAAAAACTTCTTGGTTTAAAAATAAAATAAATTAAAATTCATGCAAAATAAGCTACTAATTCCACATTTAAGTAGAAGGAATAAGTCATTCATTTTTGAAACTTTTAGAAATTTGAATATAAAATGAAATTTAATCATAATTTTGCATCTCCAACTAATCTAATCTTTAATCTCGAATTGATTTTATCTTTCGAATTCCCTCTCATCTAATTCACGAGCTACTGTTTTACTACTATTATTGTCAGACACTTTGAAATCTCATTTCCTTAGACCAAGTTCTATTTAAATTTGTAGACTTAATTCGCGAATATTCAGAAACCAGATAAGTTATGAGTGTAGTTCTCTGTCCAGAAGAATTTTCCAATCTTACTCGAGTTGCCTTCGAGTGACGAAAGTGGTGAGGTAAAAGCGAATAATATTTCCCCAAAGAACGCTGAGCATCAAAGGAATGTAATTTACGGATAATCTTATTCTGCTTCCTTTATTTATCATTGGGAAGTTTCCTTCTAATATTCTTTAGCAACCTTGTCAAACGCTTATTGGATGATGTTAATCTGATGTTGAGACATGACTATACATCATACGAGCTAAGTTTAATTTCCGCTTTAGTAAAAGAGACACAACTACTACCACAATTGGAATAAGTTTTTATAATCAGTAATAAGAGTGGAGAAATGGTTTCGTATAACTATGAATAAAAAAGTTGATTTGTAATTAAACTTCAAAATTTTATTTACAGTTTTATTTTCTTAGGAATTTTTTTTTTTGATAATGTTATTTTTATGAAGTGTTTTGTGCAGATTTATCAATTCAGAAAACGTAATTTTAAAATGTCGCTTTTATCAATAGAAGTTTTAAATGCTTTTCAGTATGTCAAACCTTTGTCGTAGATTTTGATTAACACTAGATTGCCCAAGTCATTTTGACTGCTTTTTAATTTCAATTAGAAAAACAATGATGTACATAATGACCATATATGGCAACGTTACTTTTAAAAAGTAACGAGTAAAAGTACAAGTATTTTTAAAAAAAGTAACGAGTAAAAAGTAAATATCTTGTATTTTAAAAAGTAACGAGTAAAAAGTACAAGTAAAAGTACAAGTACTAAACAAAAAAAGTAACGATTTAAAAGTACATTTCTAGAAATCGAAAATTCAAAGTAACCTAAAATTTTATTGAATAATATTCTTATGTTCTTTAATGTTATTGCAAAATTGTTGTTATTTATTTAATTATTTTTAATTTTGAAAGTT